GCATATAATTAAAAGTGTTCATTCTCTCTTTCTTCTTTCTCTGGTGGATCTGTGCTATTTTTGTATGCCTACATTTCATTCTCTCCAGCTCCTGACAACAATACATCCTCGCTGTTCAATCAGCATAGTTTAGAGAGGATGCCCCAGTTAGAAGAAAATAATAGTCTTATCTTATCCTGGGTCACCCAAAAAGCAGAGTTGGAGGTGATGGTCAACATATCTTTCATTGGAAAATGATCCCACTGTGGAGAAATGAGGGTCTGAAGGATCAATATAGGTAGAAAAATAGACATCACCAAGGTGTGCACCAGAGCTGCAGGACTGCCCATAGGGTATTTAGCTACTAGTTCAGTTGAGGTTTTGTCTTTAAGACTAGTGGAAATATCTCAGAGCTGGGGTGCTACAACAGTGACTGGGCTACAAGTGGAAATCAGAGGACTTGCACTGGTGCTCACACCATGTCTGATGGTGACAAGCAACCATGGCTACTGGGTATACTTCCACTTCCAGAGCTCTGAAATTAGATAATGGAATAGAATCCTCTCTCCAAAGTGAAATATATGTAAGTCTGGAAGCTCCATGGCCACTCTTCATACTGTAGCAGCAAATGGGCTGAATTCCACAGAAGACTGAAGGACTCTATTTACAGCAAACAGAGCTTATTAATTTTAGACCGGTCACCGCACATCCCTGACTAGCAGGTTAGGAACATAGGCCCCTGCCTGCCTTTGTTTCCACCATATATATATATTTTTGGTTTCCATGGTAACAGATTGGAATGTTGTAGCCCTGGCCACACATTGTTTTCCTTGTGTCACGTGACCGGGTCAGCCCACTGTCATGAGCCCAACCACAATGATATACACTTTCTGTACTCTGTTCTGTGTGTCCCCCTTTAGATAACCATACATTCCTTTACAGTTTTGATGTTTATCTAGGCCAGGGAAGGAATGAAACAACCCAGGCAAGGTCATAGGTGGCTATCTGCGCCCAGGTGTTCTTTGTCTTTGGAGAAGTGTTCCAGGGCAAAGTCAGGACTGCAAAGTTAACCTTTTACAACCCCTCTGTGATGTTTCTCAAGACACGTTTTGAGGCTTGCATTAAGACTAGAATTATTCTATCTTAAAATGATGTGCTAAGAGTTGCCATACCCTACAATACAACAAGGAGAAAAACTGTCTGCAAAAGCAGGAGACACAGTAGTGGTGATGTGAAGTGTTAGTTTTAGTACTTGAGGTTCTCAGAGCCAGCTTGATTCCTATAATTCTTCCTCTCGTTCTGTGGCACCCCTCCAATCCATCTAATCATGTGATTAAACCATTGGGTCTAATTTGTTTTGAGTTTCTGCCACTGAAACTGAACAGAAACGTAGACACTGAGGGGGGAAAGCAGAGTGTTACTAATGATATTTCTTTAAATCTGGAAGTGGATGACAGAATCATGAGAAGAGCCTGGAGACCACAGCCCAATCAACATTAGAATCTGCCCTTGATGGTGGCATTCCTTGGCTAGTCTACCTATGTGTCCCCAATCTCTATTAGATCAACCTTTGTTCTTAACCTTTATCCTTCTTGGCCAGGCCTTGGGGGAGGGATCCACTGAAAGCTGCCCTGCCCCAGCACTGAGAGGATGAGTGGCATACACCTCCTTTAAGATCTGGCTTGGCTGCCTTTTGATTCATTTTCCAGAGATTCCATCACTAGTCACTAATGCTAGAATCTTGCCAACTCTTGAATCTGAGCCCATTCTGCCTGGTTTTCTTTCTTAGCACTCTGAGGTCTGCTCATCCCTAGGATGTTTATTTAAAGACCCCATACTGCTCCTCTGTCACTGGATAAAATGACGCAAGTTTTGGGGCTGCACAAATCTGCCCTTTCCTCCCAGCAGATTGTGACTTACTGTGGGAAGTCGTGGTGTTGTAATGGGACTGTGGGGAGCAGGAACAGAAGAGGTTTGGGAAGGGACTGAGAAAAGATTCTAGCTCCACTTAAACCTCAGTACTTTCCCTGATAATGGAACTCTTTGGCTGTTTGGAGTTCCTTCCCAAAACATGCTGGCATGGGGAGGGTCAGACCCTACCCTTCACTTGTGGTCTGCTCCCTTCTCTTCTCACCCCAGCCCCACTGCGCACCACATGTGGATAGATGCATACATGGTTGGCAACTGTGGCATGCATATCCCAAGTCCATCTACATACCTCCACCCCCATAGAGACTTCTCGGCCACCCCTCAAATATTTGAACACAGACAAGTGGTCTATGCCAACCCTAAAGTAGGTTTGGGATAATTTGGTTAGGAATTCCAAATCTCAAGGGCCAGAAGTGTGGTCTAGAACTAGGGGTTCTTGTTCCATGTGGGCTTCTTTAGGAGGCCCTGAACACGCTGCTATCACAGGAGCACGGGCAGAGAAGAGAAGGTGGGGCTCAGGGCAGAGTGTACAGGCCCCATTAGCTCTAAAAATATGACTGTACATTTGTGTCCCACCAAATTCATGTACTGAAACCCTAACCCCCAGCGGAATGATATGAGATGAGGCCTTTGGGAAGTAATTGGGTTTAGAACAGGCCATGAGTGTGGAGCCTCTACGATGAGATCATTGTCTGTATAAGAAGCACAGGAGATGAGGAGTCACTTCCTCCATCCTGAGAGGCTATGACCAACAGATGGCCATTCCAGGAAGGCAGTTACCAGATACTGACTCCATCAGCATGCACATTAGGGCCATCCAGCCTTGAGAAATGTAAGAAAAAAATGTCTGCTGCTTAAGCCACTGAATCTATAGTGTCTACCTGAGCAGAACAGAACAAAGCATGGGTACCAACCTGGATCTAGGAAACCTGGTGCCACACTGACTTGAGAACTTCCAGGCTGGTTGAGCTAGACTCAAAATAAAGCCGTTTTGTGATTTCAACTAGTTTTTAAATTTCCACTACACACAACTGAAAGAATCCTTATTAACACATATGCAAGTTTGTACAAAGGGTCTGTAGCCACTGCTTCCATTTTCTAAAATCACTTCTTCCTACCATAACTTGCTACCTCAACCATTTTCCTCTAACACTGTAATAAACTGTACTCTTGAATTCACAAGTGCAATGGTCTTTTCTTCATCTTCAATTAGCCGGTCTTTTCTACAGCACGTGGGTACATTAAACATTCCTTGTTCTTCAAAGCTTCTAGTTTATTATCTTATAAAATAATGAAGATAAACTAGAGCAGAATAAAAAACTGGAAATAGATCAGTTAGAGATTTCTGAGGGGGACAATAAATGGGATTTAAATGGGATAATAAATGGGATTTAAATGGGATAGTAAATGATTCTTTTCTTGTTTCTCAAATAGCTCCTTTTCAATAGACTTCTGTAGCCCTTCACCCAGTTGTCCATGTTTTTCAGAGCTTAACCCTCCTCTTAATTATAATTAATTATTAATAATAATAATTAATTGATTGATTTACAATGACAATCTCTTATCCTGAAGAACCCATCCATTCTTGTACTTCAAAGTATCAACTCCCTAAAAGTTAATCTCAAATTTCTATCTCCACCCTTGATAGACTCTAAGTCCTACTTTCAGGACCTGGAGGATTCTTCCTCCTAGATTTGAAACTAGTATTATCTTTTACTCTGTCCCCTTTCTCCTTCTTGCCAGGACATACTGTTCAGTCTTTTCTTGCAAGTTGTTTCCTGTTCATCCATTTTTTGTGCCCCTTCAGAAATCTCTAGCTGATCTATTTTCAGTTTTTACTCTGCTATGGTCTATCTTCATTATTTTATAAGAAAAGTCCTGCTAAAATAGAAAGTTTTGCATGGCACATTTGTTCTGGCTTCAAAGCTTCCAGTGGATCTCTATGGCTTGAGTAAAAGTCCAAACTCTTCATCTTGAGATTAAAGCTCAGCGTCAGTCTTCTACTCTCTACACACCCCCCAGGCCCACCTTATCCTTTTTCCCCAAACCAAGTTCCTCATTCCTGTACCCCTGCCTGTATCCCTCTTCTTCATTCTACATAACCCTCCTCCACTTCTCCAAATTATTGCTGATAAATTTCAAGTTCCAATTCCCATGCTAAAAGCTCAGTGTTTTCTCTCTTTCCTTTCTGCAGTCCTTCTGCCTTGTCTATTGTTTGATGCTTATTAATTTTTTGTTTTGAACTGTTACAAAAGTGTGTGACCATTTAAACTAGATTTTAGATGGTATGAAAACAGAACCTATATCTCACGATGTGGTTTGTCTATTTTCCTCATTATTATGCACCCTATGCTATGCACAATGAGTGCCTTACAGTTTTTTTTTTTTTTTATTTTGCTAATTCTTTATTTTAAAGTAAAAGTTGTGCTTCACAAGTTGTGGTCATACAGCATCTAACATCATGGATGCTAAAGTTGGTGGCAAAAAAATTACTAAAAGACTCAGAAATTTCACCCTACACTTAGACATTATTAATGAATAACTTCTCTTCTCCTCATCTATAATGGTCAATAGATTGTGTCAACTTTAGAAGTGTAGAAGATTACCAAAGCAGCTCAGCAGGAGGCCATGGTCCCCACTTTGTAAACATCCTCATCCTGAGCAAGAGCAGGGTGTGGAGATGGTGTAAGTGCTACACCTCCCCTTTTTGCTCTTGTTTTTTGCTGTCTTCTGTCACCTTGAACTGTTGACCCTGAGCCAGGCCACCCTGCCTTGAGGCCAGATGATTACAGACTGAAACCTCTACAAACTGTGAGCTAAATAAACCTTTATTTCCTTAATTTGGGGTGTCAGGCACCTTGTCTCAGCCAACAAGAAAAAAGTAACCAAGACACCATCATTGTTTTTGTTTTTGAAGAACAATAGATTATTTTCCTTTTATAAGAAATATCATATTCTGATGAAAAGGTCTCTTGTTTATATATATATTTTTTGCTTCATTATTCTCTATGTAATATTGGATCCTAGTAAATCTGTGTTTTGAAATTTAAAGAGAAAAAATCAGCAGACACCAATGTACATAACAAAAGACATTATAGCATCCTTCTTTCATTTTATTGAAAAGGAATCATTTCTATTCTAGCGCAAACAATGTATTTTACATCATAAAGCAAGATATAATTTACATATTACATTTCTTATGAGACCTTTATATCATTATGTCATTCCCTTTTTTATTAGGTCACTTCTTCTGGTTTAACTTAACCTACCAAGTATCCTACAAATCAGCATCTTCCTTGAGGAGGGACTGGGGACACAGAGAGTTCCTCATTTGCATCTGGGTGAATGATGGAACAGAGGTATGCCCCAAAGTTGGTGGCACTGAGACTCTCCTCTGACAACTGGCTCAAAAGCCAGAATGCTGGTCCTCCAAATCACATATCAAAGTTGTACTTTAAAAAAATCAATAATAAATGAACAAAACTGAATGCTGCCACTACATGTATACTATCTGACCAAGTGCTCAAATAATAGATGTTTATGGAATTAATTAACCAACAATGAACATCCATATGACTGACTCGTAATGGTTACTCTATGCAATTCCCAGGCACTTCTTACCCAAGACATTGGATAAAACTCCATGATTTCCCCAACTGTTCACGTTTATGGGCTAAAGCTTTTCTGTTGGCCATGGAAATGGGTGTCTCTCCAACTCTATGATTCTCTTCTTAGATTCTCCCCTTGTAAAATTCTCTTCTAATATTATCCCCTTCTTAGCAAAACCTTTTCGTGTGTGATTTCTATTCATTTCCTATAATACAAGTTCTCTTTTAGCTACGCTCCTCCAACTTCACACCCCCCAAAGTCAGCAATCTGTGGGATTACACTCACTTCCCAAATGAAAGAATATCTCAGTTTGTAAGGACATACTGTTCCTTTGAAACTTAATGGTCCACAGCAATTAATGGGACAAAATATAGTATTGAAAGACTCCTTAGAAGCAAGTAACATGTGCTGTTCACCCAATCTACATGAACCTTTCCTAAGAAATGTTTTACTAGTGTGTTACAAGAAGAGGGAATCAGTTGTTGAAAGCAAAATACATGAAATGAGATTCCTTCACACTACTAGAAGAAATAAAAACTCAATACTTGAAATACATTTTCACATGGTGGCTATTTGACTGAAAAATCACTCAACTCAATCTGATACACCAAAGGAAATGCAAATGTGTGCTAAAAGTGCATTTTTGTGCCCTAAATTCCTTGGCTGTAACTTACAGTACAAAGTTGGTACACTTGGCCAAAATCAATCTACACCTTTTTAATCACTGGTAACTAAACATTTAGAACCAAGTTGGTCAGGATAAGAATATAAGTTAAAAATATGTCTATTCTGTGTGTCTTAAATTACTCTTTGGTCAAATGTTGTGACTTTTGAGATATCTGAAAAATAGACCTATTTCTCCTTTCCAAATACAAGGTTATAAGTATGTACAGCAAGGTAGCATTTCCTTGCCAGAAACAAGGCAGCCAGGTACCATATGATTCCATCAACACTGTACATTTTTAGAGATCCTTTCATCCCATGGCCAAAGTGCTGGACATACCAAGAATGCAGGAAAGAATGGAGGAGCAAATGAATAAAGCCTCACAACACCCCTGTGAGGTAGGTAAGTATTGTCCAACCCACTTTATAAATATGCATACTGAGGCACTGCATGGTAATGGTTTGGTCAAGTCTACCTGGCAAGTTACAAATGTATGGCTGGGAATAAAGAGATAGAAATAAAGAAATATCAGTCCTGGATCCCAGTCCTAGATGCTAAGCTTTATTTCCAAATACTGAAAAATAAAATTCCACAGTTGCCTTTAAAAATTTTAGAATTTAGACAACTCTTTGTGTATTCCACATTTGTTTTTATCTTTCATATTTCTAGTGAGTGAAGAGAAAGCAGGGTACTAAACATATTTCTCTCCTCTAAATGTAATTCCCATGATAGAGTAGAATGTATCAGCATTCCACCAGAGCTCAGGCTCCAAATTCAAAACATCTTTATAGTCTCTAATACTTTTGAACTCCTTTCAAAGCCCCAGTGTGAAAAGGGCCTCAAATGACTGCCCTGATAATTGCTCTGTGGCCTTAGTGAAAATTTTGTGTAGAATACCAAAAGCAGCAAGATATCTAATTAACATTTTATCACTGTCAAGATAAGAATAGTAGTGATGGAGTGAAAGTTGCTTTTTGTAGTGTTTGAGATTCTGCAAATTCAAGCTTGCAATATTATATATATATATATAAAATATATAAATACATGCAGTATATATATAAGTGTGCATCTGATTACTCTTAAGGCACCAAAAAGATGTAGCTTATGCCTTTGAAAATCCAGTCTTTGTTTTCCTAGTGAAATTTCTTTCCCTCTCAAGTGAAAAACATTTCCTCAAGCAAAGAACCTGTGACAGCAAATTGTTCAAAGACAACTAGTATCTCTAAGATGGCCAATTGAACGGGGATTAGGAGGGGTGTTGATGGTGATATAATAATAGATAGCTCAAAGTTTAAATCCATAACTTATATCTAGAGCATAGATCTAGAGCTTAGAATTAACAAGACAGCCAATCACACTGATCCACAAGCTAGTGACCAGAAGTTATACATAATTCTTATTTTCCAGTAGCTGATGAAAAACCTTACCATGTCCAACAGACATGGAAATGAGAAAGGGAATTATAATGGGCACACATTCTTCAAACAGATTTTGGCTTTTCAAATGCACCTAAAGAGAACTGGGAAGATGACAGAGTAAGGCACTGGGGTCCAAACAGTTTGATGGGCAGACTACAGGTATTCGTTCAGAATATATATGTGATTTCTTTGGCTGCTGAAGATTTTCTGAAAGCCTCATACAATTATGGGATGAGTGGGCTGAACCTAACTGAAGAAGCTTAGAGTATATTAAGCAAAGCATGAATAGAAGGAAAAACAAAATAAACACATACAGACACAAATGGTGGTGGTATCCAGAGGGAGGAGGAACATTTCTTAACTAATTTTCATTTTGCTCCTCTCCTGCTTTTTTCTGCCATGGTCCCACTATTTTGTTTCTGTTTTGTTTGTTTGATTTACTTTTTTTTCCAGCGGAGGAAGAAATGACAGAGCAGGATAGGTGTCTTATGGTTTTTGATTTCTTCTTAGGCCTGTTTAATTATTGTTTTTCCTCAGTTGACTGTTGGCACCTGGTTCCTCTGTAAACTATATTCCTTGGCCTTCAGTCTCAGGTTGGCAATGCTGTTGGCCATGTTGACACCCTGTGCAGGGCTATTGTTGGCACATGTGGCAGAATAAGTAGCCATGGCGCTGTAGGGACAAAGGAGAAAGCAGGGAGAATAACAGGCATTAGTTTCACAAAGCTGTGAGTCAGTGCCCCAGATGGATGTACTCTCAGGAAGCAGGCAGGCAGGGGCAAGGGACTGGACAAGATGCCCTTCAGGGTCTCTGATGGCTCCAGCTTTCCATTACTCTAATGCATTTGGGGAAGCCAAATGGTGGCCATGTTTCGTAGGGCAGGGGAAAGCAGTGAACTATGAGACAGCAAGAGAAGAGGTATTTGCTGTGTTGAGCACAGTGAGTAATGGTTTATTTCTGGGGTGAGAGAAGCAGTTTGCTCAAGTTGAATAGAGGTAGTTCATCAGCTGACTAGCATGGCACTGAATCTCTCTTTCTGCCTACATAACACAGCCTGTAAGTAAAGAAGAAAAGCAAACAGTTGATAAACTAAAGAGGATTTTACTTCTGCATTTCTGGAAGCTGACCTTAAATAAATACCACAATGAATAATATGCTTGGGAAATCAGTTAAAAATAACCAATATAACTTCTCTGCCATTCTTGATTCACCAGTTGATAGTGCAAAGCGTTGCCAAATTAAGACATTCTTATCAATCAACCTTAATTTTCTAATTTCTCTTGAAAAGTACTTTGGAAGCACACATTGCCTTTTGGGTCAGTTATTTTCAAAAAGTTAAAATTTCCTAAATAAACTATCAGAGGTCCAAGTCTCACCCTCTTGACCTCAGAATTAAATGTTTTTCACTGTCCTTATTGCTCAGAAAAACCTGAAGTTGTTTTTCATTATCAGAAATTAAAATTAATACTTAGAAAAAACACTGAGCAGAGATGTATCATTGATAGGTTTCTGTTCATTGATCCAGGAGACTTTTTCAAAGGAAAAAGAAATGGGGTTGTAGACTCTGGACTTGGATGAACATTATATTTTACTTTATATTAAAGAGTTAAAAGGAGGCTCATTTGAACTAAATGGAAATGTTTCTAGTTGTTTGTAAGATTCGCAAAATCTCTTTGAACTGAGGGCTGGAATGAGACAGACTTGAAAATGGAATGACATGTACTTCTCTCTTGTCATCATTCCAATGGAATTTTGTCAGCCATGCAACAGTTTGTGGTTCTGGGGATCAAGTGACAAGATCAGAAAGAGAAAACTAAAGCTAGTCTACAAATAGAGAGGCTGTATCATGGATAGTTATCTGGATACCACATGATTAGATTCATAATAACATATTTCAGCTCAGTTACTAGCAATTAGCTCAGGAAAATTAAATATAATTAGGTCCAGATCACCTAGTCTTTCCAGAAATACATATATTTAAAAGTCTTAGAGCATTGGTGTAAATGTGTGGGTAACTGTATGAGTAAAGGGGGTGTGTATGTGTGTGTGTGGCTCCAGGAAGGCAGGAGCAGAAGATCTCACGGTAAAGGCAGGTTTAAAATAGGAGTGAGATAAAGGATCAGGCAACTCATTGATGTAGGAAATGTTTTTGATTTTTTAGAGTGCACCAAGAACTGATATTTACAGTATTTTCAAAACTCACATACATATCACCAAGTTCCTAGATGAATTATATGCTTCCATTCAAGACTAGTAAAAATATATGCATCCATAAAGCCTACAGTTGAGATATTTCTAGGCTGTATCAGGATGCAAAGAACTAATACTAAGAACGTGGATGGTGTTTAATAAATGGATCTGAGTCACTGATTTTTTTTTTTGGTTTTTTTTTCCAGTATCAGGAATCAAACTCATGACCTCGTGCTTGCCAGGCAGGCACTGTGCTGCTGAGCTAAATCCCCAGCCCCTAAATCATTGATTATTATAAGATCGAGCAAATTAACTTCTCAACCAGGTGTCTGTGAGAGAATTAAACCCTAAAGATAGTACACAACTATTACCATTTTAAACACACAGAAGGCAAGCTGGAATTATGAGGTACCCATATTAATTGATTAGAACTGATTTTTATTTTTATTTTTTGGTATCAGGAATTGAACTCAAGACCTTGCACTTGCCAGGCAAGCACTGTGACTGAGAATAAAATTGAATGGATGGATAAAATTTCATGACAGAACCCTGGGAAAAACTTCTCTGGTGATAAGATGTAGACTGTCATGGTATATTGTGCTTTTAAGTACTTGGCCTAATTTCTTGAGAGATATTTTTTCCCATTTTTTGAGATTCTGGGTGAGCAAGGTTGTATTTAACAGAATCTCACCCTTTCTCTGATAACCAAAGATGTGTTCCACATCCTTAGCAAAGGATTTTCGTTTACTGAGTTTCTTGTTACTGTTTTCCAGAAGTGTCTGCTATATGTGCTTACAGTGTTGTCTACAAGACACCATTCATGCTACAAGATACCATTCATTCTACTGACTGTCTCATCAGATAATCTAGCCTGGGGACTTAACTATGGTAACACATTCCTCAGAAATACGGAGTTTTTCTCTTTAATGCAGACCAGACAGTAATATTTGAATAAATATATTTTCTTACTCAAAAACAAATAAATGGGAATTAGGATCATATGTTGCACAGAAGATTGGATAATCTCCAAGACATTTTTCACTTACATGACAGTCTGCACTTCCATGGTAGGGAACAGCGCCCTTGTCCAATTGTGGGGTAGTGATGGTACATGAACATCATGGTAGTACTATAGTAAGTCTGTGACAGCGTTCTTTGCGAACCTCTCAACTTAGTGGGATGTGAGGATAAGAAAGCAGTTGATATAAATGAATGAATTTTGCAGTTTCCTAAATGCTCCATAGATGACACCATTTTCACTTGATGTACTTGGAAAATTTCACTTGATTTGCTTACAAACTCTCAAAAAATTTGTCTGACTTATAAATTTATCTGACTTATTATAGCATTTCATGGCCTTAATATGTAGAAGAACAGAGGCCATCTTAATTTGCTGCCTCTTAGAAAATGTCAAGAATATATAAAACTACAAAAAGTGATTTTAATGATATTTTGTACACATACTAAAAAATTATCTTTATTTTCCTCCAGTAGTTTGATAAGGGTCCAGTTTTGCAACTTGAGCTAAATGTGCCATACAGGCAAGCAGTGGGCAGTCCCTGGACATGCCAGCAGCATGTTACAGGTCAGAAAAGATATAATTAATGAGGGGGCCCTGTCAGAGAAGCTTAATCATGCTTTAATCCTGGCATTAGAAGATGATAAGGACTTGCTTCTTAAAATGACAACACATACCAGGGAGCATTAAATGGCTGCCAACCTGAGAAAATGTTCATGACCACCTGCTTACTACATCACGGAAACTTCTCAAGTTCTGTTTTGGGAAAAGAAAGCGAGCCTGAGAGTGTCTTGCTATAAGACAGAAATCTACAAGGGCAATTAGCTGTTTCCAATCTATTTATGGGACCATTCGGACCATGTAAAATGACCACTTCTTCCAATTCAGGATTAAACTTTTGGGGATATATAAGACTAAAACTAAGTGATTTATGTAGGTTAAATATAGAACAATATAGCCAAAAGCCTGCTTAACAACAACCAGAGATCCTACCTGGGGACCCTGTCTTCTGAGTAGGAGCTATGTTTTCCTGTCAGCAGGGTGCAGATATGAGCTGAGTCCTGGGATTCAGTTTATAGAGTTGGCTAATGCACCGTTTTATATTTAATTTTTAGTAAAGTTCCTGTATCTGTGACCAAGAATTTACATAAAGTGCATTGAGACATTAGAGATGAAAAAAAAAAAATGTGTGTGCTGTGTCTGCTGAGTCAGCAAGTGTGCCCTGGGACTTCCCCAGAGTTTAAGTAAGCTTGAAATCACTCCATCTCCTTATTTGGAGATTCCTAGCAGACGCGGCCCAGCCACAGACAGCAGAATGTTGACCCCACCCAAAGAGTGGAAGTGCTGTTTTCACTGGGGACAAATCATTTACAGTCAATCCAACCTACTCGGAGAGGTTGTAGTGAGGGGAAAATGTGTTAAAATAAATGCCACACACTAAGTTAGTTCAGAAACTACTATTCATGGTATGATTTGAAAGCCAGGAAACATAAGGATATCTGCCCCTCTCCTTTCAGGTCATGCATAGTGTGAATACTATAAATCACAAACAATTGAGGACAGTTTGAGAAAGAACACCCTTGGCTCAATTTTCAATTTTAATGCTATTTTCTACGTGTCCCTTTTGAACAAATGATGACAAGCTCTTTAAAATTTCACCCAAAAGATAAATCTGTCATCCCAGTAAGTCTGTGGGTCTTCCTGAGTATAGGGGTTTCACCCACTCAGGCTTTTTTTGAAGGCTACATTACACTGCTGTATGTGCAAGAGTTGGAGTCCATCGCTTTGGTGTGCTCTTTAGTCAGTGCAAGAGCAATGGAGGAACACTTGCTTTGTCCAAGAAAATTCAATACCAGTTTTGCTAGTGAAAATTTGTTTTAAAGGGAGATGTCATGAATCATTGCGGAAGTGATCTTGAGTAACTGAAATAATCATTTGTAGCTTTTGTTTTAAAACTTCCAAAGTTAATTTTTAATACTTACTTGAGTCTTGTACACTTGGACCATATTCACGCTTTCACTACACTTTTGCAATTTTTCTGCAATATTTAACTCTTCTTTCCAAAAGTGTTTCGTATATACAAAACCTCTTGACACAAAACTTATTGCCACAAAAGCTTGTATTTCTCTTTTTAAATGCACATTGCTTACCTTTGGGCTCCAAACACTCTTGTGAGATACGTCACAGAGAAACCATTGTGAACTCAATTTTAGAAACAGAGTACACAAATCAAAGATCTGACTAGGCTGAGAAGCAATGGGCACAAGGAGAAGAACACTGTTCTAGTCCCTGCCTCATACCCTCCAGGCACTGAAAACCTCACTGTTCAGTGGGTGTACTGAGTGTGAACAGGTTTAGCATCACCTTGGAAAGAAGCCCACCCTAGACCTTGTGAATCACTGTGGGCCTTTACGTGGCCCCAGGTGATACCATGTGCCGCCATCATTCAGGAGCGCACTTGACTCACACTACTTAATTTTATGAACACATTTTCTTGTAGGTCTGGCTTCTTCCAGTATTTTACCTCACTGCTTACATTTCTAGGACTTCAGCCCCCCTTTCTTAAACATAATGAATTCCCCCTTAATCCCTACCCCCAGCAGCCACCCTTCTCCCCATCTGACAAGTTACCTTTTCAGTGTCTTCCGTTAGAATCCGTTATGAAGCCCCTCGTGTAAACAACATCTTGGGAGGGACGAGGATCTATTTTTGAAAGTGTGAAAGGGAGAAATGAGCCAAATGCGTTCACCAGATGTCAGGCAGCACCATGACCATGACCAAATCAAGAGGGGAGGAGGAGGAAGAGGGAGGGAGGGACACTGGACAAGGACAGTCAGCGTCTCTTTCGCTTGTCACCGGTTTTCTTTTAAGTCCAGCTCTCCCTCTGGAAACAGCACTGAAGACTAACATTGTAGAGCCAGGCCATTGGCTATCCACCTCCCTCAGGAAGAGAGGTGACTGGGGAAAGATTTCTGGGCTACTTCTCAAATAATAGTCAGAAGTCCAAAGCTTGTTTAGTAACTGCTACCCAAAAGACAAAGCACTAAAAGATTAGTGAGTCTCAATAATTTCAGGGATGTGTGTGCTTCATTCTCCCAATCTGCTTCAGGAAAATCATTCAGGGCTGAGCAATGGGTCTGTACCCCAAAAGCAATCTTCCTTCAACTAGCTACAGGTAAGTAAAGAAGACACCTGGTAGGACAGTAATGTCCCTATTAGGAAATGTTTTACTTCTCTGGCTACTCAGCTGTTTGCCTGACGTCATCATCTGCAAGACGTTCAAGAGAATGAAGGAGGTCATGACATGCTATAATTAGAGTGAACTGTATGTCCCAGTTTGTTGGGGACAGTCCTGGCTTATACCTGTTGTCCTAATATAATTATTAATATCACTCCCCTTGTACTTTCAAAAGTGTCACAATTTGAATGACAAGTTATCCAGTGTAAAATGTGTCTGAATGTAAGACACCCAGAAAAAAATGTGTTGGCTATTTCCCAGCTCATAAGTCTTAATATACACAAATAACTGCTGTGTGCTTTTGTTTCCATCTTCCAGGGAAAAGCTGAGAAAGTCAGAAAACTGTCCTGTCTGACAGACTGCCTAATCGCTCTCCCTGGGTTGCATGACCAAGCCACACACACCAGTCATCCCAGTGGGACGTCCACATGCCCAGAATGTAGTTCTCAGGCATTCATCACTAATAGGCGATACACCTTGAATCAAAGAGTGATGCTGAGATAGCTTTCCAATCTTACAGTGTTGACTAACTCCAACAAAATGGAATATTTAATTGGAATGAAAATATGGTCATGTGACCAAATATGTTGGACAGAAACGTGATCACAAGAACTAGTTCTCATTTTACTTGCTGAAGATTTAAAGTTGTGCAAGTGTTCAGTCTTCTCTTCTTTGGAACAGGAGCAAGGATAGAGCTATCACACAGCAGTGTTCCAAGGGTTAATCAAGAGAAATGCCTTTTAATGAAGGTTACATGTGAAGTAACTAACTTGACATTATAGTACCAACAGGAATAGCATCTTAATTTTCCACAACACAGAAGGTGTATCATTTCCTTTTTTTACTTATATATTTCCTTAACAATAGTTAGACTTCCTAGCACTCTTCAAAGGGTGACATCATAATGTATTTGATTCTAAACATAGAAAAAAACCTGTACATAACAGAAGAATGTTTTGTCACTTTCAGCAATTAACCAAAATATAAGCACTTGAGTCAAGACTGGGTCAAAAATATTATTGATTAAATTACCAATTTAAACCATGACTTATCTACTTGTATTTAGAGATTAATTTATTCTTAATACAGAATATAAACAGTTTCTATGATATTGCTTTAATTAGTTTTTACAAAGTCTGTATCTAAGAGAAGTGATATATAAGCATACCATAAAATAAGTAAAATGTAATAGGTTATATGATTTTAAGTGAAAAGAGCAGAATACAAAATAATATATACACTAAGGCTAAACTTATATAAAATATGGAATTCTAGTTTCAAAAATGAACAAACTATGTCAAGATGTGGAATCATGGACATTTTTAAAAAATTATCTAAAATTTCTATATAATCTTTTCAATTCAAATAGAATATTTCCCAAAAAAGGCACACATAGATTGCCATGTTAATAATTTCACTTAAATGCCATATATGAAATACGTATGGTGTGGCATGGAGGCTGGGCTTCTGCTTTGGTCAGGTTATATGACCTGATACCAATTCAGGAAGGACTTCATGCCCTTTTGTGCAGTATGCTGTGCTCAGCCTTCTACTGTAAGGACCATGTGGCAGCCGTCTGCATAGTTTACAGCTGCTATGAGAGGTTCCTAAGGAGTACCAAGCAGGTAAAGAAGTATTGCTTTCTAGTTCTGAGCAAATTCAAACAAGAGATCTTGAAGCATCAGGCTTTTAACTATATCCATTTCATTAGCCATTCAATGAGTTTCTGGACTACTGGTATTTGTGAGAGAAACAAAGAAGTCTTCTACATTTTAGTTGGTTTTTCTCCGGTACCGGGAACCGAACTCACGACCTTGCGCTTGCCAGGCAGGCGCTTTTGCCGCTGAGCTAAATCCCCAGCCCCTCTTCTACATTTTAAAAGAATGAAAGAATATACAACTTCACAATGGGCTGCAGAATGTGTTTTCAGCAAATCCTACGGAAGAAGAGGTCAACTAATCTTTAAAGCATTAACTAGGACATACATATAAAACTAATCTTTCAAAATGAACAAGGCTGATGGCAAAGTAGCTCCAGAATAGGACTTTCTTGTAGTATTCATGACATCTGTAGATACCAAGACCAAAGATAATTCAGGCTAACTTCACAGCAAGGAATATGACAGGAATTTCCTAATTCATTTATGATGTTTCTCTCAAGAACTGATTTGGAACAGAAAGAACATTTAGGTGAAGCTTTGGGCTTTAATCAGAAGTACCAACTTTTAAGTATTTGCATTTCACAAATGTACTTTTTCACACCAAGGTTCAGTGTCAGCTAGGATATAATATCCTGTGATTAATTTAAAACTTGTTCATGAAATAATAAACCTTAATAAAAAAGGTAAGCAAAAGCATAATAAATGAACTTGTGAATACTTCTTCCAGTGAAATCATCCAGAAAGAGCCTGTGGCCGTGAGTGGTTTTCCTAGAGAACTCAGTGATAAATTTAAAGAAAGGCACTTTGGAGCAATCACAACTTGTTGAGCCCACATCTCACCTTTCATAATGGTGTCAACTTGTGTTTTCTGAATAGAATAATAAGTGGAGATTAACAATCTCTCCATGTGATTGAAATACTACTCTATTGTTTGCTTCTTCAAAACATTTCACTTTTTATATAAAAGTTTAGTGTAAATTATACATTTTTGTTTAAAAGATACACACACACACATGCACACACAGAGACACACACAGACGGACCCCCAAAGTAATCTGAAGGTAGACAAGAGTTATCAACAGAATACGAAGGCACTTGGGATTATAAGAAATCTTCACCTATGAACAAAGAACTGAAAATGACCAGAATAGACTTGGGTTTTCTTTTTTTTTCTCTCTGCCACTTTTTCCTTCCCTTTCTCTGCCTTCTTCTCTTTGCCCTGCCTTCTTTCTATTTGTTTTTATTAAAAATCAATTTTACCATGAAGTTTACCTTTGATACTATACTTAGAGCCTTAATTGTCATTTCCCTACTTGAGCATCTTAAGACAAATCTATCTTAAATTTGGAAGTGGGGTAGTTTTATCCTGGAATGCTTGCAAGAGGGACACTGGGCACAGATATTATTAAATGATCTTTTCTTTGGGATTCTTGCTCATCTTTGAAACCTTTGCAAGAGTTCCTGAGTCGAAGAGGAGATTGCTGATGGCCTGCCCCTCTCTCTTCTGCCCCAAACCCTGCTCCTGGGGCAACTAGGAATCTCCTGTGAAAATGTGGGAATGTCAACAAGTTGAGTGTCTCTGCAGAAGTTTACCCAGTAGGAAGTTATCAGCCAGCTGCAGGAGCAGCTTCGAGTGTGGCTGACCGCTGAGGAGCATGTGGAAGCAGAGCGAGGGAGAGTGAGCCAGTCATTCACCTGTACGGAGAGGCCGTGCCCCAGGAGAGATAATCGGTAGGCCTGGGAGCAGGACGAGGTACGATGGGCTGCTCCACGGCAGTCACGTCTCCTGAGTAGGATTTGAGGAGGGAAGCGTTTTTATTGGCCAGCATGGCTCTCTCATTCCTGCGGAACTTGGCTCTTCGATTCTGAAACCACACCTGAAGATCATTGGGAGGGGAGAAGGGCATAAGGAGAGAGGAAAACAGAGAGAGGTTACAAGAATGAAATTCTGGTTGATTTTACTATGTAATATCTTTCCAAGAAGGATACAAGGTAGTATGGAATTCTTCCTAGAATAATAGAAATATGTCATCATCCCTTCCTAGTGGGCCCTGCTAAAGAGCTCTTAAGGGTTGACTGCATGGGGCCAAGGCTGTAGCTCAGTGGTACAGCGTGTGCATGAAACCCTGGGTTCAATCTTAAGCACCACAAAAAAAAAAAAAAAAGACTGAAATATTTTCAGTAATTAAGATTCAGAGGCAGGGTCTGTAATGAATCCATAGGACAACAAAACATGGGTTAAAATCTCCAGTGTAATTGTAATCAAGTAAAAGATAACTCTCATTAGACTTCTCCTAAGAGACTCAGTGATTTTTCTGAAAATTTTTGCAAAACTTCAAAATGTGCAAACTTGGGCCAGGGTATAGCTCAACGGCATAAGCACCTGCCTGGCAAGCGCAAGGTCCTGAGTTCAATTACTGGTACCAAAAAAAAAAAAAAAGAATTACAAAAGGAAAACTTTATCTTTCATAATATTTAAAGAAACACCTCCATCTCCCCAGAAGTGGACCCTCTGACAGGTCTTAAGAAGAAAATAATTTATTTGAGAGGTTTATTAAACACCATGAGGGGAGTATGGGAGCAACAAATGCTCAGTGCTTTGGACATGCCAAACCTAGGTGGGGAAGTCTTTTGAAGTTCTAGAAAGAAGCTACTGGCAAAGAAATGCAGATGTTACTGGTCAGAAGTTGACTAGACTACACTTATTTGTAGGGCTGGTGGGAGATGAGTAGCACAAAGAGCATTGACCACAGCTAATAAGGAACTTACCACTCATTAAGGGCCACAAGGGTTAGGCATTTATATAGGCATATGACATACATTATTTATAGTTATCATGGCAATTCCATTTATCAGGTTTTATTATTTCTATTTGAGAAGTGAGGAAACAGGTTCAATGAGAGTAAGTTGTTGAAGTTCACATAATAAATGGCTGAGTTCCTTAACTCAAGGATGTCCAACTTATGAATATACAGCTCTTCTGGACTACAGTGACATTTTATCCACTCATTTACTCATTCAGAAACTAGAGTGTCCAATGTGTCTACATGTTGGGAAGAGAGATGAGAAAGATTTATTATCTGCTTTTAAGAAGCACACAGTTTATTAAAGGAGGACATGTACATTTGAAAATATGCAAAACAAATACGCTAGGGGCAATTATAGGAACGTACAAAAAGGTGCATCAGAGAAGGAAATTTTGCAGTGTGGCGTGAGATCATTGTCCCAACACAGTCAGGCAGCACTAAGGACCTGAGTGACTCTGGAGGTCTCTGACCTGGTTTCCCAGACCCCAGCTCTTTTTGTCACATTCTGATTAGAGTTATCATTTTTAAAAATAAATATAATTACATCAGTGTCCTGCTTGATATCATCTACTGGCTTCCCATTAGAGAATAAAATGAAAACATCTTACAATAGAACAAAAGGCAATTCAGGAGTTAACTCTGTCCAGCAAAGAGCCACACTACTGATCTGCCACCCTGGATTCAAGTCTGCCTGAAGTCTACCAAAATGGATTCAGTTATTTTCCACCTACATAGAATTACACCAGATGCTCCTTCTGTCTCTAACATTCTTTCTCTTGTATTTTCAAGATTTGACTTTAACATCACAGTCTTTGTAGAGTGTTGTACTGGAAGGAACATGAGTTTAAGGTCTAACAGAATTGGGTGAAAACACTGGCTATACTATTTTAAAGATTTATCTTTGGATATGTATTTAATTTTTATTTTCCTTTGCTGCTCCATCAACTGAGATAATGATATTCACAGGATAGTTAGGAGAGCTGGCCCAGAAGAACTGCTTAATAAAAACTCTATCTCCTTTTCCCTAGGCAGATAGCCCCATTCTTTCTCTACTGTATCATTGATTCTTGAATGTTACTTTCATATAAGAATCATCTTACACATCACAACTTTATGTTTTACACATCTGCCTTCTCTGCTCCAGACATAATATCCTTAAAGAGAGGGCTTATGTCTTATTTGCCCCCAGCAAATCAAAATAGGTTCTCAATAAGTATTTCAGGAAAGAAAAGGGGAGAGAATGGAGGAAAATGAATCTTGCAAAGCCTTGGCACCACCCAAGAGGTCTTTATCATCTAGCAGGAGAGTTTAGCACAGAAATAACTCAGTATAATACATATGTTGCTAAATACTTTAAATATAAAGATCCCCAGACCCAGAATGGATTGGTTCAGACTCGGAAAGCCTAGGACTGCATGGATGAAGAATAACATCATGGAGGGATAATTTTATCCTATGCACTTACAAAGAGGGATTGAAGGGAGGGGAAGGGATGGAAAAAAAAGAGGAGTCAAAGTATATCATGTACAGGTACAAATTCCCTAAGATAATATGATTATTATGTGTATCTCATTGTACCAATAAATTTAATTTAAAAAGCAAGAAAAGAATAAAACAAAAAAAACCCGATGTCCACAGTACCAAAAGCCATTAGTACATAGCATGGTGGGAAAGGGGGAAGAAAAAATAGTTTCATTACATATATTTTAGTATAATATTTATTTACAATTACATATAATTACTCTATTATATGTAATTTATTATATTATATTGCTATTTATTAGATAGTAAGCATACCAATATATAATGTATGGTACATATACATAAAATTTTACCCCTTCTGGGTATCTTCCCAGAAGAATTAAAAACATCATACCACAGTGATATATGTGCACCCATGTTTATATCAGCAAAATTTATCCTAGCTAAATCTTGGAAACTACTCAAATGCCCATCAACTGAGGAACAGATAAAAAAGAAGTGGGATTTTTATACAATGGAGTATAAAAATATCAGCCATAAAGAATGATAAACTTGAGACTTTTAGAGGTAAAAGGATGCAACTTGAGACCATACTCATAAGTGAAATAACTCCGATTCACATGTGTAAACATTGCATTGTCTCCCTGGAGTGAGAAATTGAAAAAGTAAACAAGGTCTAAAGTGTATAATAGATATTATGAAATGGGAAGAAATTATTCAAAATGAAAATTGAACTAAGATGGGGGAGGAGAAAAGGAAGGAAGGGACAAGGGGAAAAATGCAGGTCAGTTACCTTATTAGTGTCTTTTAGTCATTGAAAAGGAAGGTTTGGGGCTGGGGAGATAGCTCAGTGGCACAGGGACTGCCTGACAAACACAAAATCCTTGTTTGATTCTCAGTACAGAAAAAAAGCAAAGGTTTGTGCTAATACTGAGTGGAGAAATTTTTATGCCCATATCTTGTACTCTGAGAAATTACTTTAAAGATAACAGCATGCAATGTACTAACTATGGTCATTCTATTATTTTGTTATGAAATGTTGTTTTACCTTTTTTCCATAAAGTAAAAAAGATGAAAATAACATTGGAGATAAAGAACTATCATTATTAAATGAGTTCAATGTCCACTTACAATTGGATTAAAAATAGGGAGAATTTTAGAAGTCTACTTAAAAGAAAGCAGTACTTTAAAGCAGTACTTAAAAGAAAGCAGTATTTTATTAGACATGATGAAAAACTTTGGGTATTAAGGATGTATATGAACCAATTAAAGCATATGTGTATCAATTTTGTTTAAAAATCAGACTATAAAGTAATGAAAACAATAAAACGTTGCTAAATTCACAGTAAGAATAAAATTATTAGCATTAGAAGACAAAAGATATATATTATATATAATAAATTATTTTATATACATATATTATAAAATAAAAGCATTTACATCTTATGATAGGGGTAAGATAGTCCCCGTATCCAAAAAGTACTCTTTCATATTTTTAATTCCCACCATTTCACTTCTTCAGATTTCCACCCACCTTGGCAAAAGTGGTACTTCACAGCACTTCGGCTTACTAGTGGTCTGAAGTTATGCATGTCTGCACTGTGGCTGAGGTTGGGGATAAGAGATACGGGCACTTCTGGAGACCACAATGGATTTAGAAGCTTAGGAGCAGGGTGTAAAATGCAGCTGTCTGCCCTGGTGATGGAGTGGAGAGGGGAGGATTGAGCTCTGTCCCTGTGGATCTCCTGCCTGAGCTCCAGGTGCTGCCACCCGACTTACACGTCCTCCTCACCCCCTAGGGGGCCCAGGTAACTTTCCCTTTTTGTCACTAGCAGTTTTCTTCCTGTCTCTTGGGGAACATTTTTAGGTTTCACCATGTTCTTCCATGGAGAAACATCTGTCACACTTCCTCTTCAGGCTGAAGGGTCCTCCAGATTTCCTATTAAACTCAATGAGTGTCCCTCATGGTGAACTGCACCTTGTGACTCCTAAGTCCTGCCGTAGTCAAGACCCTTGGGGTGTTTGGATTCCCAAACAGTTTACAGGTTATCATTTGCAGAAAGAAATCCCTCAAACTCCAACTGACAGATATACAAACATTGCTTTCTTTAGGAAGACAAGACAGATTTGACCCCCCTCCTTATCAAAACAGCAGTTGACCACTGGTGATATGGAAGGCCAGATCTTTCTGTAAAGATAGCAGCACTGCTTGAAAAAGCATTTAGTTAGGAATCAGTCTAACAAAAGAAGTAAAAGATCTATTCAGTGAAAACTACAGTCAGATTCTCGTGCATTGAAAGTCTATTGTTTTCTGCACATCTATATTCCAATCCTATTTCCACCACTTCCTAGGGATGTGAATTTGTGTCAATACTTTAACCTTTCTGTGCTTGTTTCCTCTTCTACAGGACGAAACATTGAATTGATGTGAGGAAAATGGTTTAACTATGAGAAGAATGTGACTTGACACGTAGGAACTCAGACAGTGTTAGTTACTGTGTTCTTACCACTACCATGGTTCCCCATAATCACTGGTTGTACTGTCTTCTAGATATCTGTCCTGCAGTGGATGTGTCATGACATGGATGTTAGAGATGGCTGCCATTCTATCTTCTTATTTTATGTGTTTTTGTCCTTTTTCACCTCAGACATTCTGAGGATATACAGTCTTCTGCTTGAATGTGCTCCTAACTGAGTTTCTCAGTATGCATCTCCCACTTCTGCCGGTGTTGACAATCATTTATGCCTACCACAAGTTTCTGGAAGTTGTGCACATCTCCAAAGGCTAGACCTGAAGACTGAGGCGGGAAAAGTTAATCTCTTTGCTCACCACAATCTCACAGTGGGAGCTGGGTGAAACGCTCAGATGAGAGAAGTGTAAAACATAAATCTAGAAGAGGAAAATTGATGAGGAGGAGGTAGAGCAAGGAATGTTCTGCCTCTCTAAAGAGATTCAATTTGATTTTTAAAACAATTTGAAGCCCACAAAGTACAATTAGAAATGAGTCTGTCCTTGTCCTTACCATGTATAACCTGCATTAATACCACCTCCAGCCTGAAACCTACAACTGGTATTTTTAAAGTTTTCAGAAATGTGCTTCTCTGAAGGAAATGCTGGTGCCTGCCCCTCAGCATGAGTTACCTGCACTCTGGCCTCAGTGAGGTTCACCCGGCGGGCAAGGTCTTCTCTCACGAATGCATCAGGGTAGTGTGTCCGCTCAAAGACACGCTCCAAAGCCTGTAGCTGGCTGCTGTTGAATGTTGTCCTGTTCCTGCGTTGTTTTCTCTTCTTTTTCTCCTCTGAGTTCAACTGATCATCTAGGGTAGAAGAAGTGAATAAGGAATCAACTCAGTTTAGAGGTACCACTGAGCACATTTTTTTTTTTTTTGCAATTACTCATAGCTGCTCACATCTATCTAAAGAAGCTCACCACTTTATCAAAGTACCATAGCCAAGTGTCCCTTCTCCTGAGCAGATACTGACACTGATGCTCATGAATTCATATGCCCAGGAATTCTGATGATTGTTGCTTCTAAAAACAAAGCTAGACTGGAACTGACTGTCAGAGGTACATTACTTACATGCTTCTTGAGACTTGCCCTGTCAGAAGAGCTAAAGGAGAATATAGTACTGCATATGTTCTCTGGATTTCGATTTTGGTAGCAATGGAGGAAGGAGAGCAGATTGTTTTATACCTTACACATCTCAGACAATTTTATGTTCACATGAGTACTTTTACAACAAAGCAGACCAACTATTTCCTGGTTCCTTCTCCTCAACATATACTCGTGAACACTGCACGGTTATAACAAAGAAACCATACTCAAACCAAATGAGAGGTTTTCTGTTTCACCAGGCATTCTCTATGAGGCAGTGAGTGATTCCTAGCAGTGTTCACTCAAAGGTCCCTGCTGTAGCTAAAGCAGCCTCCAGCTTAGATCAGGGCTAGTGTTACAGCACCACCAACTCAAGCTAACATTACCTTAAAACTCCCCTTATAAGAACTCAAGAACAAGGAACAAAATGTTGAGATCTCTGAAACAATTTCACTCAAACTTGAGTTCTAGGGTCCTGACAACTTAGGAGAACTTTAGAGAATCACAACCCTAAGTTTTTAACCTGTCAGGATCCCCCCTAATTTGCTCTGAGTTCTCTTGAAGACATTTTGGCAAGCTAATTATTCAGCCTGTCCGTGGCAGCCAGGCAGTCAGAGAGCAACATGCCCCTGTCCTGCCCCAGACAAGAGTGATGGATTGTGAGGCTGAGTGGAATACCAGCTGTGCTAACACCATCACCAAATCATCACAGAAGGCCAGAGCCACCCCAGAGCCCATGTAGCTTGCAGAGATTTACAGCAGCAAGCTGCCCAGGCACACAGCAGAGGGGTGATCTGATGAACTGAACTTACATTTCCAATAGTTTCTCCCCAAAGAGGCCCAGACCAAACAAAATAATAAGGAGTTGAAGTGAGGATGTGGGGAAAGGAGAACTTGAGCTCTTGCTCCATATTCAAAAGAAAGTAGCTGTCAGGCTTTTATTTCTAATACAGTATTCAGAGTTTCCTAACCTTCTGTGATCATAAATGAATACACAACACACTCAACAAAGCCACTCACACAAAGCAGAATGTCCTAAGAATAACAACACCTACCTTAGCTATAATATTACAAATACGAACTTGTTCTAGATTTATGTGTGGGTTCAAATCCACAGCAGTTTAAATCCAAAAACTTGCTGGGTATGGTGGTGCATGCCTGTAATCCCAGCACTTGGGAGGCTGAGGCAGGAGAATTTTTGCGAGTTCGAGACCAGCCTGGGCTACAAAGTGAGCTCAAGGCCAGCCTGAACTGCATCCTGGGACCCTGTCTCAAAAAAAGAAGATGAAAAAAAAAAAAATCCAGAAACTTGTAGGCCAGATCTCTGGGTCCTCAGCAGCTGAGATCTCTGAGTCTTTCTATTCAAGACCCCTTCCTCCTCAGCACTGCTACACCAAGAACACCCAGGGAGCTCAGGAGGGAAACAGCATATTTGCTCTTGATAATTAAACCACCAAGATGCAGTAAGTGCCTGCTGGGTTTGTTTTCACAGGAAACATGAAACTTCTGTCCCTAGAATACTGTTTCTGTTCAACAATACATTTTGCCAGCCAAGAAGCTGCTATCAGTCATTCGCTCTGTTTTGTGGCTGTGCTCAGTTGATCAGCTCTTTGATTTTTCATACATTTAGTATCTCGCCTAGGACCCCTGCTTTGGCGGCACTCCTATCACATTCTCGGTGAGAATGTCACATCAGCCACATCTTGAGAATGAAGCCAATTTAATGATTTCTGGAGTCTCACCAGGCCCAGAATATTCCAACCCACACCACTATTCAGCTAGTAGCAAAATAGTTTACAATAATATGAATCCCAGAATTCAAACACCTCAGATCAAGTACCTTTTAGCAGTTGCCTTGCATTCGTATTTTCCACCCTATTGAAAAGCTTGGAAGCATTTATCTTATTTCAGTTCTCTTTTCTGAACTTTTTTTATCTACAGTTCTTCATTTCTTGCACTTTAGATTTCTCTGGCTTTCCAGGCTTTGAAGACAGTGCCATAACCTGAATTTCTTGTTCCCACTAAACAGGAATTTTCAAAAAGAAATCCTTAACTTCCATATTTTTGTCAGCTGAGACCATTTGGACCCCAGGCTATCACTTATAATCATATAAAGGAAATCCCTTATTAAGCCAATCTCATGATTTGTTCACTTCTCTCAAAGAAAATTATTTTTCAGATATAACCACAAATTCTAAATCCCTTATGCTGTTTTATTTTTTTTTTTTTTTTTGGTTTTTCTCCGGTACCGGGAACCGAACTCACGACCTTGCGCTTGCCAGGCAGGCGCTTTTGCCGCTGAGCTAAATCCCCAGCCCCCCTTATGCTGTTTTATAAGCCTGTTTCTTCTTGGACAGGGAAACTATGATCAAGACTAAGAACATTTCACATTCTTTTCTTAGTACTACAACCTGCTACATAATCTCCTACTAATTTTTTTAAATCTTTCACTGTTCATTCAAATTCTTCTGACTGTCCATAAACCACCAACTCCCCTGATGTGGGAATAAGGGAAATGGAGAATTATAGTTTATGACAGGGAATAAATAGCTATGATGACCTGAAACGGTTCCAGAAAAAGTTTCCCAGTGAATATTCTTGTTGTCTTTAACAAATGAAAACATCAGTGCAGATCATGTAGAAGGTGAGAAGACACTCAAATAACAGGGGTCCCAGGAGTCTGGATCTGGCAAATGTCCTTCACAATACAAGTGTAATGGAAAGAGACAATGAGTGGGCGACAGAGACAGCTTGAGCGGCAGCCCTCCGCCTGGTCTGCCTTTGCTCACTAATCACACACTGTGAACTCCCTCTTTTCCTCTTGAGCTTAGAAGAACAGGACCCAGCTCAGTATCTTCAGCAGCATAAACACTGTGGAGGTTCATTAATGCAGGGCATCTGAGAGGCCTGTGATAAACATATTTATCAGATTCTGGGCCCTAGTTGAACACAAGAGAAAGAAAACTGTACTTTTATCGTTGCAGGAAGAACATCATTCTTATTGAAACAGCTACAGTAACATTTGATTTTGAAGTGTGTTGTCCAAGAACACTATGTCAATCAGACCTTAGGCTGCATGCCACCCACTGGTATTCTGAATTCGGTTAGGATTTGCCAAGCTGCAGAACAACTATGTATTATGTATGCATTTTTATCAAAATCATAATACTTCATCTAAAGTACATACAGATTTTATAATTAAATGGGCTTAAATAAACTGCAAGTATGCAATTCTTGCCACCTTTCTAGTAAAAATGGGCAAATGGCCTTATGACTAGATGTAGGTTTACTTGTAATCATGAGTCATAAAATATTAGCACTAAACAGGGCCCAGTACATTGTCTAATCCAAGCCTTTAATCTTGTAGATGAAGTAAATGAGACCTAGAAGGACAACGGACTTGTTCAACAATGAAAATAAGGGACTTCTAGCCAGAGTTAAAAGACAGGATACCTAATTCTATTTTATTCTTAAGTGCAAATGACGATATCCATGCCATATAAGAAACAAGCAATAAAGAATCAGGAACATAAATAGGAGCCACTACCCACAGAAAATATTTATGGGAAAGTCAGATTTTTCTATACTAGCTATTATAAGGGGGACCTAAGAGAGAAGACTGATGTATATCACATGTCGTTCCCACTAGAATAGCCAATAAAAGTATATCAGTCTTCATAGAGAATATCTATTCTGATCCAGATGTTCCTGCATTTTCTTTTCAATAGCCTCCATAAGTATGTGTGGAGTTATTTTAGTACCATAGCGTATCCCATCTTTCCCCTTCTCCCCACAAATCCGATGCTTCTCTTCCACTTTAAGATATAGTTCAAAATCTGTTTCCTAAGACACATCTCAAACCTTGCCGGCTCTATCAAGCTTTGCTAATAACTCCAGTTCACACTGATCTCTCCCTTCTCCAATATATGTGTGTGTTTATCTTATCAAATACTTTTTAAAATTATGGTCCAATCCTTTCCGTGTAAATTTCTTGTCAGCTTAATGTATTCAGGTATTTTAACAGAAAGGAGGAAGTTTCCTTGATAAATTAAGTTACAACAAAAGTTGGAAGAGTTAGAACAGTTTTGTAGTATAGCAGCAGCCCCAGAATATTATGACCTTAGTGCTTCACTAAAGTCATAAAGGGCTGAGTAAACTTCTGAATTTGAATTATTTTTTTAATAATGCAAAGCAAATAATTATGTCACTTTAGTTTTGTCTTTGGTTTATTTTAACTGTAGAGGAAAAATAAACATTTTACAGTGTTTCTTTTTCAGATAGATTGGTCCTCACAATTAAAGAGGGGGAAAGATTTGCAGTCTTACTGCTCTGTAAATGTGGGAATTGGTCCTTCATTTGTATCACTTGAATGAAAAACAGCTCCAGGATGAAAAAATAGTGTAAAGAAACAGGAAGAGATGTTAAAGAGAATGTTTCCAGGGGACCAGGATGTTAGCATACACATGGAACATTTCTCAAGGGGAGGCTGTAAGCCCAGGGTGGGATGCCCATGTGCATTCAAATATGACTCAAAGACAGCAGCAGTCCTGCCCTTGGCCCTCAGCTAGGCTTGCTCTGTACTTCCCAGGGAGGTGCTGAAGTTGCACTGGAAGGAGGGTGAACAGGAGATTCCTTAAAAAGCTGGGATTAGATGGCCCATTCAACCCAGCCATTTCCCTTCTGGGTATTTTTCCCGAAGAACTGAAAGCATAGTGAACTGA